TTTCTCAGAGGAGAACTGACATATTCTCCGACGATACCGTGGCGTTATTAAACAAATGGCGGTATGTTAGATTATAATGTGCAAGCGGTTTTTGGTGCTCAAATTAAGTAAACTTAAGCTTATATCAATTCTTCTACTTCAAGAACCTTTGGCAGTTTTAATCTGGTTTAAATTTGCTTTTGAATTTGAAAATCTTCACCTGATACACTTCAAAACTTCTCAGTTAAATGAGCTTGTTGACAATGAAATTATGTGTGAATTGTGTACACGTTTCGTACACGTACATTCTATCCACAATAATAATCTTCTTTGACATAAAGCTACTCGGATGTTTTAATTTTTATAAAACTATGCATTTTGAAAAGAGAGCCTTGATATTATTTGAATGTTCAGATTTTAATCTTTATTCTTCCATAAACTCTTTAATACAAACTGTCAACAAATACAGAGAGCAAAGATAAGCAAAGAATTTGAAGTGTTGAAAAATGGATAATCATTATGAACATTATGATTCCTTTGTTTACAAAACTGTCAAAATGTATTTATTACTTATCATTAATGATCACTGTATGTCAAAAATGTATTGATTAGTGTCATTCCTGTGTGATTAAATTACTATTACGTATGTTTCCTGTGCGATTGAAAAACCACCAAAACTGTCAAATTGCATATATGACCCATAAATCATTTTTTTGGATCACTGTATGATTGAAAAATATCAACTGCCAAAATGCATTTTAATTATTATTTATCATTCCTGTGTGATTAAATAAAGGATCTTACATGGGTGCATGGAAATATTGTGCTAACTCGTGGGATATATAAATTCAAAACTTGAAGATAAAATTCATATCTTCAAGCGACAGCTGTAGTGTTCTGTCTATTAAATGACATTGGTGTAAGCAAAAGTCTGTAGTTACATAAACATTAGAAGATCAAAAAGTTTGAACATTTCAAGAATATGAATTTATGATTTCTGCATGATTGAATAATGCCAAAACTGTCAAAATGCATTTACATTATTTGATGATTCCTGTAAAGATTGAAAAATATCAACTATTAAGAATTTAAAACAACAAAATTGCAAACAATTTCTATTGACATGATGCATTTGTTATTATTTTTATTATTTCTGCATGATTGAAAAATTTCAAAACTGTCAAAATGCATTTGTTATTATTTTATGATTCCTTTAATGATTGAAAAATACCAAAACTGCCAAAATGCATTTAATATTATTTATAATTCCTGTATGATTGAAAAATGTCAAAGTTTCAAAATATATTAAGAATTAATATTAATTTATGATTTCTGTAAGATTATCTAAGGAAGTTTTATTTTGGTAAATAACCACAAGAATTCAAAATAAGTGGTTTTCTTTACATATAATTATATATATCACTGATTTGCATCAACAAAGCTGAAGAGAAATAGTTTAATAATTATTTAATCTAAAAATCTGACCAATGTGTCTTGCATCACATCTTCATCCAACATGCATATCTTTTGGGAGCTCCGCTATTAGGTTTTACCTAATTTTTATAATTCACCATTTTTAAGATTAAGAGCCATATTGCTGTGGTCAGTTATGTTATACACAGTTAGTACTTTGCATTATAGGGATAAAATCAAGCAGCCAATGGCAGCATAACTCGGAGATTGATACAGAACGATGGATGTACGATGAATCACATTATAATTACTTAACAATGACAATTTAAAGTAAACGATTTATGAAATTTTTTCGTTACAATCCTATTTAACTTCGGCTGTGTTGATAAGCAACGGCGAGTGACGGCGAAATAAAGCCCAGTCTTAGCCACAATTAAATCAAGTTTGACATCGTGGCCTAGTGGTTAAAACACAGGCTTAATGATCAAGAGGTCGCGGTTCGCATCCCAAGTGATACACTATGGTTTTTTTTCTTTTTTCTTTTTCGTTACTATCATTTTTTATTATTATTTTTTTTCCAGCAATTCTTTTAAGAATGCTTACTCCGTAACGGTGAATTAAACAACTGAAAGTTGGTTCAATTGAATCCCCGACCAACTATACGGCACCGTTGCTTTTATTGTTTGCCAGTTTCCGTAGCGGCTCAAAATAGTATTATCGATGTCTAACCACACAATGAACTATGTATCAAATATTACAATGTAATAGTACGGTAGCGAGCGAATATATTTTTTGAATTGTAGACGAACGTGGATAAATAAAACACACGTAAAATGATTTTCGAGACGAATTTAATGTCGGATCGGCGAGTCTTCCTCATGCTTCCTTTGTGACTGNCTGCCAAAGATGCACATGAAAGAAAAAATGGACAACTAAAGAGTATCCGTATTGCAGTTGTGGTTCAGTCAGGTATATTACATAATGATATGTTATGCTTAATATTTGGTTTTCATACAATTGCATCTTGAGTAGAATCAAACTACTGTCAGTAATTTTATAATAGTTGATATGTTAACATTTGTTTCACAGGTATATGAAAATCGCTCAAAGTGTTTACTCTATTTTTAAGTAGACCAAAAAGTTATCATTTCTGTAGTAATCCAAATTTACATAGAATATAAAAGACTAAAATTATACTAAACAATGAAAATACTATTATTTTACATTTTTGTGATTCACCACTACCCAAACACAATTGTGGGATATTACTTGTATTGAAACTACATTGAAATGCCATTTTAGACAGCCAAAGAAACATTAGAGGGGTAAAAAGAAAGCTTATCCGTAGCAGTGTATTTGGAGATGATGATCCTGATTCAGATTCAGAGGCACTGGAAAAGTTCATAAAGAACTCAAATCCAGAAGAARAAWWRAAGTCAAAAAATGGGGATTGGAACACATCCCATATTGAGTTAAGGAAACACCTGGAAAAGAATGGTACTATGGGAAGATTTGGAATCAGTCACCTTAGTCTCTGGACAGATCTTATTTTAGATGGCACTCTTGCAGGTCCAGAAGAGGAGCCTGACTGGGCTAAATACAGGCATATTGTTCAAGTAGATCCACTTCCCAAGCGAGGTTTTGGGTCAACAAAAGCAATCAGTTCATCAACAACCACTTCTGGTTCAYAAGACCTTCTCACATTTATGATGGTCCAGCAGGAGAATAGACGAGAGGAGGAAAAGAGAGAAGAGCAGAGAAGGAGAGAGGAAGAAAAAAATGGAGAGAAATGGAAATAAGAAGGCAAGAGAGACAACAAGATATGTTTGCATCACTACTAGCAACCAATCTTAGGTCACACAACAATCAACATGATCAGCCAGTCCCAAAAGGTTCAGGTACATAATATTGTCAATAAAAACAATTATAGTGGAAACTTAATCTGTGATAAATACATAATTCATACTGTAACTAAACCACATATATTACTAATTTATGCTAGTTCCTTTGTATTCTGCCTACTGTCTCATTGACACTTTGTACTTACGTACTAATTTTAGTTTCACAGATTTAGTTTATCTCCTCTATAAAATACATTGCAGTCTATTATCATAATTTTCATAATTATATTTACATGGAATGAACGTGTATAACATGTATCAGCTCCCTTGAATATTTGTTGCTTGGATGCTTAATATGAAGAGATTTAATTTGTGTTTTTCCTTATGTCTTAACCATTAGGATTGATGTCACTCACTGTTGATGATGTATGCAGAGAATTGACGGCCATGAAAATGGAGCAATACATTCACATTTTTAGAGAACAACACATAGATGGTGCAGTGTTAAGTTTTATGGATAACGATGCTCTGCGACAGTTAAACATCCAAGACCCTTTGCAAAGAGCAAGGATGTTGGCCTTTGTGGCTAGGATGAAAAATAAAGTGTAAAATGTATATCTTTTACCAAAAAGTAAAGAAATTTACTTTCTATGCATGGAACTCAGGTTTGATAATTATTTATTTGGATGCTCAATGATATTTGTAAAAATGTTAAGAATGTTTTTTAATTCACAATTTTTAAGATTAAGAGCCATATTGCTGTGGTCAGTTATGTTATACACAGTTAGTACTTTGCATTATAGGGATAAAAAAAGACAACATATTAGAAAAAAAAATCATTTACAGTATACATGGCAACTAAATTGAATTGTGTTGCATGTACTGAGAGCTATTTACAAGGAATTGATGTTTTATCATAACTTGTAATTTTTTGCACTCTGAAAGGACATTGTTTCTGCAATAAATTATTTAAAAAAATTCAAACAGTATTTAATATATTAATTTTCAAAATGTGGCATGAGTGAAAGTCAAATATAAGACCTAGTACTTGTGCATCACTTTTCCATGGATTAGAGTACAGATGCAAGGAAATATGCTATATGTTTTAAATTTTCAGCTTCATTTAACCTGAGTATAATTWAAAGGCCTGATACTCCAGTTAAGCTTCATTGGAAGTAGCCACTATCTGCAAAGAATGATTCCGACTCAGATRCACCAATCTATAATGAATGAACAATATTTTAATATTGTTGATTATACAAAGATACTGTACACATRAATGTCATGAATACCGATGTTTACTTTATTCTCTATATTAGTGAAGATGTCTTCTTAACTAGTCTACTGTCCACCCAGTATTAATTTTGAGTTTCCTGTCTCCTCCCCATATTAAAGATACATGAAGCCCAAAACTAATACTAAGTGTTAGGGAGACAACTTCTAAACCTGGTTACACTGACTTTTTTCTGTATCAAAAATGTATAATTGGATACAGTTAACGATTATGGTACAATTAATAATTATTGTATGGGGTCTGTAYGCCAAACGGTATTTTCAACTGTTCTCTTGAATAAGTTCATAAATATACATTGAAAATTGCATTGTAAATTAGCTTAAATTGAATTTAAATAACACACCTGTTGTWGTGCCTGTGCCATACAGTATTTTGGATTTGATGTGGCAATRTGCAGGTTTCTTTGTAGAAACTGTTTGGCAGTCGAAAAGGCTTCTTCAATAGGGTTCAGGTCAGGAGAGTATGGACTGTAATAKAATGAAATAGGCAACAAGTATTTTTATTGTAAGTACTTAGCTATAGCAATAAAATTGGGATAGTGAGGAATTACTATGGTAACAATCACTATATCTATTATCCAGTACAAAGACATGAATTGGTCCTGTTACATTTGTAATTTTGTACAGAGAACATAAATTATCACTGCATATTGATAGCTACTTATGGAAGAAATATGACTATTGATCCTTTCTTTCTGCACATGTCAATGAACTCATCAGCATCATGAATCCTAGCATTGTCTAGTACTATCACTGACCTGGGTTCATTCAATRCAAATCTACCCACAAGGGGTAATATRAAATATATCATGGCAAATATGAAACTTGCTGTATCAAAACTTCCTGGAACAGTGTGATGAGCAATGATTCCCTGAATACTGAGMGCTGCCACAGTACTATATCTATCCTGCCTCACAACATTCCCGACAACTCTGTGCAGATGGTCATGTCCAGGTACACAATGACCTCGTTGTCTCTATCAATGACAATTAAGAATTACAAGTTAAAGTTGTACTTCACCAGCTCATACAAAAATTTACTTTGGAATTTATGTCTAACAATATACTACCTGTAGTTTCAGTGTGCATAATAGTCTTGCAAACTTTTACAGTCATCTTTAGACAATTTCGCTTTTTTATTCAAAAAGCAGTAGAAACTAGAAATTTGTTCTCAAATTTATTATATTTCCTATCAACACACTCAGTGTAAAACCCCTGGCCTCAAAAATGCTACATGTATTACAATATAGATTCATGTACACATGTATTACAATTATGCTACATCTGTCATGTTTACATGTGCACTCAGCTCACCTGAAAACTCCTTGTATCCTTCCCGGTTTCATCAACAAACAAAAGGTTACTTCGTGGTATATTTGACATAAATCTTGTATACTCTGCTCTCTGTATTTCACTTTGTTGCCATGCAACAATCCTCAACTGCATGTGATATAAAAAATTGTACCACATATAATGATAATTTTCTCGCTTTCTGATTGGTCGAGAGCCATGGTAAATTTATGCAAAATCATAGTTTCCATAAATAGTACAAAAATAGTAAATTCAAATATAATTGAATAAGCATAGCCTTATAACATTTTCTTGTTTATAACTACTAACTTAAGGCCATGCACTAAAGAACTCAAATGTGGTGTACCTTTTTATATGTGAATCCCAGACGAATAATTGACCGACACATAGTGGCTATAGATATACTTTTGCCAGTAATCGCATGGAACCAGTCTTTGAACTCATCAATGTATAGTTCTGGTTTCGTTAGAACCATAGCTCGAAGCACTCTATTGTCATTATCTACAACAGTAATTTATTTTACCAGACTATATTGTAGTTAACATATGCTGATATATAAATAATGGATATTTGCTAGAATAATGCTAATGAAGTTTTATTTCATAACATTAGAGCGCTTCAGTTAATCCGTGAAACACTAATTGCTAAATAATTGTGCAGATAGTTAAACAAAAAGAAAACAAACGAGTTAGTGAAAAATATGGGAAAATAGTACAAAATAAGTCTTAAAGTTTCATCACGGTTTACTGAAACCTACACTTCATAAACTAGTTCATACAGCTACAAGTTCTAAAATATAATAGCATGAAACTTAACAGGATGGCAGATAAAGTAGCATGACGTTTGACATAAAACTAGTAGACAAAATGATATAAGTTAACTTAAGTGATATAAGTAAAGGTAAGACAAATGTTTTTTACATATTTTTACTTTCAGAAATTATGTATAAATTTACATGCATTATAGATATCGCTAAATCTGCTAGTCAAATGCTTAGCTTGGGTTGCTTGTGGGAATGCTTGCTCAACTTACACGAGAGAAGTCTTGCCCTTCCTCTGCGATTAGCWACTGCTACATCACCAGTTCGAATACATCTTGCCCGAACATTAGAGACAAAACGTTTGCTAACAAACAAAACCCGTGAAGTTTCTTCAATCAAAGAACCTAACAGATAGCTGCGATAAATCACCCTCCATCGTAAATCTGAAGAGAACGTTTGTACCTTAGTATCACCTCCGACTACAATCCGCCATATTGGAAAAGTTGCAGCCTGGTTACCAAGGATGTCGACAGAAGTTGTTGAAT